TTTTAATATTTATTTTTTAGTTCTCGGCGGACACAACATCTTTGTTGGTATGTGGTGCTGAGGATCGAACCCGGGCCGCACGCATGCCAGGCGGGCGCGCTACCGCTTGAGCCACATCCCTAGCCCCTGCCCTAACCTTTGAAACCTATAAATGTGACTTTATTTGGAAAATAGGTCTTTGCAGATGTAGGTTAATCAAGGATCTCAAGATGATATTATCCTGGGTTATGTGGGTGGGCCCTGATTCCAATAACAAGGATTCCTGTGAGAGAAGAAAAAGTAGAAAACAAAGGGAAACACACAAGGAGGAAGCCATGTAGAGATGGGAGTGATGTGAGAACAAGCCAAGAACAACTGCACCACCAGCACCTAGAAAAGACAAGGGAGGATCTTCTCCTAGAACTTGCAGAGAGAATATGGCCTGTTCACCCTCTGATTTTGAACTTCTAGCCTCCAGAACTGAGAGATTAAATTTATGTTATTTGAAGCCACCCAGTTTCTTGTCATTTTCTGGCAGTCACAGAAATTCTTACACAGAAGAGGGGCTTCAAGAATACCATGCCAGGTCTAAGGAGTGTTCCCTACAGTTGGGAAGATAAAGGTAAGAAGAGACTTGTAGTGTCTGACATGTACTGAGAAATTTGAAATAGAGAGCAGGACCTGAGACAGCAAAGCAGAGTAGGTGAGCTGCTCTTGTTCGCTTGAGTTTAGATATAGACCATGAGGAGCAGTACCAGATCCACCATTTCATATCCACCCAAGAAGACTGATTACCAGGAAGTGGAGGTCAATCCCAATGTAAGTTTCCAGCAGCAGGCCTGATGCTAGGAATGTTGACTTTAACACTGATTAAATCTGGTTGTTTTACTGGGCTAGTGGTGCACACCTGTAATCCCAGTGATTCAGGAGTTGGAACAGGAGTATCCCAAGTTTGAGGCCAGCGTCAGCAACTTAGACCATGTCTCAAAAAAATAAAAATAAAAATGACTGGGTCCCAACAGCTGGGGAGGCTGAGACAGGAGGATCACAAGTTCAAAGCCAGCCTCAGCAATGGCGAGGCAATAAGCAACTCAGTGAGACCCTGTCTCTAAATAAAATACAAAATAGGGCTGGGGATATGGTTCAGGGGTCGAGTGCTCATGAGTTCAATCCTGGTAAACCCTCCCCCAAAAAAGAGAGATCTGTAGAGGTAGCTCAGTGTCAAAGTACCCGTGGATTCAATCCCTAGTACCAAAAAATTTGACTGTTTTGATTGTTAGCACTTACAACATCTCACTTATACCCCCACTGACCCAAACACAGAAGCTGACCTGACATCTCCATCTTTTTCCACATACTTTCTTCCTTGGCTTCCATTAACAACCCAGTCTCCTGGTGTCCTTCCCACTTCAAAGACTGATCCTGCTCAGGCTCTTTCACTAAGTTCTCATACCTTCATGTAGAGGTACCCAGAGCTGTCCTAGAACCACTTCTCTTCTCTAACTATACTCAATCCTGTAGTCATTCCAAAATAACACCCAAAAATAGACCTCTTTTCTGAATTCCAGACTCACATATCAAACTTGATATACCTATTTGAATGTCTAATAGTCCTCTCAAAACTAACTTCTCAGGGCTGAGAATATAGGTCAGTGGTAGAGCACTTGTCTAGCATCCATTAGACCCTGAGTTTGATTCCCAGCACCACAAAAAAGTGAATAAATAAATATAAATAAAGAGAGAACTGGGCATGGTGGTGCACAGCTGTAATCCAGTGACTTGGGAGGCTGACTTAGAAGGCCACCCTTGGCAACTCAGTGAGAGACCCTGTCTCAAAATAAAAAATAAATAAATAAAGCATTAAAAGGTCATGGATGTAGCTCAGTGGTAAAGCACCCCTGGGTTAGAATCCCAGTACCAAATAAATAAATGGGGAACTCCTAAGTATATACCCAAGACAAATGAAAATATATCCACATATGAATGCTCATAGTGGCATTACTCAAAACAGCAAAAGAATGGAAACAACCCAAATGTCCATCAACTGGTTAATAAACAAAATTTAGTACATCCACATGCTACAACATAAACAAATCTTCCAAACACTATGGTAAGAGAAAGAAACAAGTCACAAAAGAACACATGTTGTATGATTCCATTTATGAGAAATGTACAAAATGGACAATCCACAGAGGAAAAAAAAGCAGTTTCCAGGCTACTTAAGGAAATGAGGTGAGTGAGGCCAGAAGGGTGTTTAAAGGGCCCAAGGCTGTTTTTTAGGGTGATAAAAATGTTCTGGAAATAATGGTGATGGCTATACATCAGTAGATATGCTACAAACTACTGAACTGTACACTGAATAGGTCAATTGTTTAGCATGCGAATTATTTCTCAAAAAAGATGTTATGGAAAATAATAACCAAAGAGAATTTTGAGGAGTATAAATTAAACACTTGGTTACTAGTTGATAATTGTAAAGTGAGAGATGGGTTTATGGAATTTACTAATCTTTCCACTTTAATACATTTTTAAAATTTTTTTTAATATTTACTTTTTAGTTTTCGGTGGACACAACATCTTTGTAAGTGGTGCTGAAGATTGAACCCAGGCCACACGCATGCCAGGCGAGCGCACTACCCCTTGAGCCACATCCCCAGCCCACATTTTTTTAATTTTTAATAATAAAATGTTCACAGCACCATTGTCTCTCACACCTGGAATACTGCAATAACTTCTTTTTTTTTAATTTATTTATTTATTTACTTTTTGGCGGACACAATATCTTTGTTGGTATGTGGTGCTGAGGATCGAACCCGGGCCGCACGCATGCCAGGCAAGCGCACTACCGCTTGAGCCACATCCCCAGCCCCCTGCAATAACTTCTTAACACACTATCCTGGTTCCAGTCTTGCCCCCTACAGTCCACTGTTCTCACGGTGGCTATAAGATCTGCCTAAAAGATAATTCAGGCTGGTGTGGTGGTGCACACCTGTAATCTCAGATACTCTAGAGGTACTCAAGAGGCTGCAACAGGAGAATAGCAAGTTTAAGGCTAGCCTGAGCAAGTTAGCAAAACCCAGTCTCAAAACAAAAAAATAAAATGAGCTGGGGATGTAGCTCGGTGGTAGAGTACCTCTGGATTCAATCCCCAGTACCAAAAATAGGTAACTCAGGTCACATCCCTCCTCTACCATGAACCTTACCTTGGCTCTCCCTTGCTCTCAGAATAAAAGTCAAAGGCCTACAAGACTCTATACCATCTGGTCTCCCCATCCCTCCCTCTCCAACTATGCTGCCCACGTTCCCTGTGCGCTTCCTCCGTGTTTCTAGAATATACCAAGACGACCCTCTAGTTCTCAGGTCACAGAAATGGTATGAGGGCAGGTAGATAGTAATTGTTTTGCAAGTGAGCAAACTGAGGCGCGTGAAGTAAGACGCTTAGTTGTCAAGCTCTACTCCAGTCCTTTTTAAAGACTTGCACACAAATTTGATGAACAGGAAATGTCTCAGGACTAGAAGAGTTCCTGCACTAGAGACATGGTGAGACAGAGATCGCCGCGGCAAGAGAGGAGCAGAACCAGTCCCACTCGCCGCCCAAATAACCTGGGTCCTGGTGTTCTAAAAGCGCGAAGCCGGAACCGGTAGGGCCCAACAGGAGAAGCCTGGACATCAGAAGACGTTTCAGAGGCAGCAGAACGCCCGCCGATGGAACCCTATCTTGGAAGAAGGGGACCACACCTGTCATCAGTGTAGGTCAGACGTGAGAAAGGCTGGAGCAGCGGGCTGCGAGAGTTTCCTGGGCCCGGACACTCGGAAAAACTCGCCTGTCCGGAGGCCGCCCTTCCCTTCCCCGATATGGAAACCCCCGCTTCCGGCTTCCGGCGTCGTTGTCCTGAGATCCGGAAGTAAAATACACAATTCCTGACCCCAGGAGTACAAGAGGCTGGCAAGAGATGCAAGGCCACTGCAAGGCCATTTCTTGTTCCTGAGGGAAGCCAGAACCCGCTAGCCTAAACTAGCCAGCAGAACACTCCCCAGGGAAAAGGGCCAGTCTCTACTTTTCAGGGCTTTACCATTTACACTACCCCTACTCTGAAGGCAGCGCATCCAGACGCTAGGCGTTCCTCGACGGTCCCACCCCTGACACGGGAGGGGCCAAGATCAAAAGGCAGAAAGCCCCGCCCAGAATCCAGAAGGGTGCCTGGGAGGCGTGGCCACGCTACTGGCGGAAGTAGAAAACCAGACCGTAGGGTGATGCTGATCTGGCAGTAGGGACGCGGGGAAACTGCCTGGGACTGCCCCGTGCCCATAAAGCATCCCGATCTCGTGCAGGGAGGACAGCGGGCGGATCAACCATCAGTGCAGGTGCCCGAGGGGCGGGGCTGTTCATGCGCGGGGCTGGTC